TTCAGCGCCTTCTTCCTGGCTTCCTCGAAGTCTTCCTTCTGGCCGATGTTGGCCTGAGGAGAGGCAGAGGCCCCGTCAGCTCGGGGGCAGAACACTGAGGAGGAGACCATCAGCCCCTGGGGAGGGCCCTCTGCAGGCCCCGGCCACACACAGTCACCCTCCCTCGCCCGGAGGTGGCTTCCTTTGGACGGCCGAGGTCACCGTCCAGGAGGAGAAAGGGCACGGCCCGGGTCCGAGGCACTCCCAGGTGCTGGTGTGGGGAGCTGGGCCGCTGGGGCATGCTGGGAAGCTGTTTCTAAGGGTTGGAGGACCGACTGGGAGGACCAAATGGAGGGACTGGTGGGGAGGACTGGTTGGAAAGACTGGCTGGGAGCACCAGTTGCACAGATGCACAGGCTGCTGGGATGCAACGCTGGCTGGCTAAGGTTTCCTGGAAGCCCTCTGACAACGCCCTCACGCCCCAAGCCAGCGGTTAGCTTGTCGGGAACTGCCTGCCTGGTGTCCAGGTCTCTTCCCCAGCAGAGAGGTCCACACCCAGGGTACCCAGCTCTGGCCCCCCAGCTGGAGAGCCCGACCTCTGGCTCCAGCGGCCCCTGTCTAGACGACAGTCTGTCTTCTGCTGGCTGGCCTCTGGCCTGCTGCCAGCTCCGGGCTGGAGCCCTCACTCCCGGCTCTGCTCTCCAGACTCTGGAATCCTTCCAGAGCCCAGCAGCAGTGCTAGCCTAAGTCACCGTCAGCTTTGCATCTGCCAGGTGGCAGCCTGGGGTCTACATGGCCAGCTGCAGCTCTGTCTGCCCCACCACGAGAGGGTTACACCCCGGGCTCTCTGCAGCCACTCACAGCTGTGGCTGTCACCCACCAGGTGACTGTGAGCCACACCAAGGAAACCCTCACCCAATGACAAGGGCACTGGTGCAGTTAGATGGGGCATATGGACGCTACCAAGCCACTCTTGGTAACAGAGCACTTTTATCTGTGCATTGATCCAATCTCATTTCTTTCTTTCTTTTTTTCCTTTTTTTTTTGAGTCAGGGTCTCACTCTGCCATCCAGGCTGGAATGCAGTGGCACAATCATAGCTCACTGTAGCCTGGACCTCCTGGGCTCAGGCAATCCTTCCCCCTCAGCCTCCCAAGTAGCTGGGACTGCAGACACACGCCACCCTACCTGGCTAATTTTTTTATTTTTTGTAGAGACGAGGTCTTATTATGTTGCCCAGGCTGGTCTCGAACTCCTGGACTCGAGCAATCCTCCACCTCTGCCTCCCAAAGTGTTGGGATTATAGGTGTGAGCCACCATGCCCAGCCAAGAACTGTCTTGCTTTTTCTTTTTTTTTTTTGCCATTGTTTTTGTTTTGTGCTTTTTAAAGTGGAGCTGAATTCCTAGAATGTGCAGTGAAGAGTACTAAATAGTACAGCCCCATGAAGGATTCATAGACTGAGTCTAGGTTCACCAGACATGGAGCTGGTTTGAAAAGGATTAACTGCTATGGACCCTGGCTTGGGACCGGTGGTCTATATCACCTACACCCTGTCACCTATTTTGCCGTCCCAGCACTCGGTGACCTCCCAGAACCCTTCCAGCTCAGGATTCGACAATCTTCATGAATTCTGGAGGCTGACAGGGGACTCGAGAGGGGAAGACTGCATGCCTTCCCACAGCCTGCGGCAGGTCCCAGCCATGGCCCCTCTCTAAGCCGGCTGGCCCCACGGCACTGCCAAGGTCACTGCTGTGTCCCCACCCCCATCACCCATAAGACAGCCACCTCCTTCTGGCTGTGAAAGGCATCTCAAGGATGTCTGTTTTAGAGGAAGAAAGGGAGGCAGTGCATCGAACAGCTATGTTCCTAGTTCCAGATCAAGACGGGCTTAGACCCGGCGTGGTGGCATGCACATGCCTATAGTCCAGTCACTCGGGAGGCTGAGGCGAGAGGATCACCTGAGCCCAGGAGGTCGAGGCTGCAGTGAGCTGTGATCCTGCCACTGCATTCCAGTCTGGGCTACAGAGTGACACTCTGACTCAAACAAAAAGAAGACAAGCTTAGAGAGGGAAGCCGGGCTTGGACAAGTGATGAGGAGCCAACGGGCAGACAACCCGGACGGAGGCACAGGCGGGATGGACCGAGGGACAAGCAGGAAGACAGACGCCCCAGGCGTCCCCTCACCAGGTAGGCAATGACGTCATAGCCTTGTTCCTTCAGCCACACAAGGATGCAGGAGGTGTCCAGGCCGCCACTGTAGGCCAGAACCACAGAGCCTTTGCCGGACATCTTGTCTGGAGAGAGTCAAGGAAGAGCGTCAGTGTCCCTGCGGACGGCGCCCTCCTGGCCCCCACCTGGCCTGGGGCGGTCTTATCCCTGGAACAAGCCGCCACCGGGTGGAACGAAACAGGACGTTCCCCTTCCTGCACTTCCTTTCCACTCCCCACCATCCCTGGGACCCTGACCCTGTATACACATCCCACATATGAGGGGAACTCAAAAAACCCGGAATTTTTTGGAGGGTGGGCCCCTTGCAGCACGGTTTCCCTGCTAAGTGAGTGGTCTAGGAACCCATTGGCATCCGCGCACCAGCTAGTGCTGGTATGAGAGGCTGCGTTCGGCTTCAGTGCATTTTCTTTGTAGACATTCTTTCACTGTGTTTGCCCATTTCATGATGGGTGGCTTACGAGTGTACCTGCCCACGCCGTGCTGAGTGTTTAGCAGTTTTTGACCAAAAATGGAGTAAGTCCCATGCCCCATCCTCCCTATTCACCCGATCTCCTCCCGAACAACTTTCTGTGTCCCCAGGTGATAAACGTCCTCAAAGGTAACGTTTTGCTAATGTGGAAGAGGTGAAACAAAAAATGGCAGAGCATGAAAAGGCTTCCAAATTGATGAGGTCAAAAACTTTTCTGAGTGGTGGAAAAAAGCATCTCGATAGGTGTGTGGCATCCAACAAAGAGTACTTTGAAGGTGACTGAAGTTTAAACATGTAAGAATAAATATGCAATTTTTAAATTAAAATTCCAAGCGTTTGGGGGTCCCCCTGGGCCACACTGGGGCCTGACGTGCTGACGGCAGCATTTGGGGCTGGCAGAGGGAGGCATCTCCTGGGGACAATCCCCCCAACTAGAGGGGCAGCTGAGGCTGAGTCGGCTGGACCAGGGCCAGGGGTGAAGAACGCAGAATGTGGAGGGGAGGGCTCTGAGCCTCTGGTGACTGACATGCCCCATCAGGACTGCTCCTTGCCAAGGTCAGAGGGTACCAGCAAGGGCCCCGGGGGCTGTGTATGGATGCCCCCGAGTCCCTACTATGACCCCATGATGGTCATCGTCCCACTGGTTCAGAGAGCTCAGCCACAGGTTCAAGGTCACAGTGCCCAGGTGGGTCTGGGCCCAAACCTGGGCTCTTACCCAGCATGCAGTACCACCTCACACCTGCAGGGGGAGTGGGATGCTCTGGGGTCGGCGCCCCGGGTCCCTTTCCCACCTGGGTCTCCACTGAACCTCACTCCTGGGAATCTTAGGTGCCGCGTCTCTTCAAATACAGGTACCTCTGGGGCTGGGGGGAGGCACACGAGACACCCGGCCCCTCTGCAAATTCAACTCCTGCAGACGCTCAGTTGGGAGGGGCTCAGGGGCCAACTCCCCCGGTGTGCAGGTGGAGAAACTGAGGCCCAGAGAGGGAAACAGTAGGCAGAGGCATAATATCTCTGTGTAACGGGGGCCCATCCCAGGAGGGGATGGGTGTGCTGTCTCCCCTCTGCTACACTGAAGCTTCGGAATGCACCGTGACCTCCTGTCTCCCGCCTGTAGAGCCCTGTTCCTAGGTCCCCTGCCCGAAGTCATGTGATTGGGTGACCTCTGTGGATGCCTGGCCTCCCTGGTTCTGCATTTATGGGGCCATGTTTGCGTCTGGGTGGGAGCATTTCCACAGGAGTCACCCACGGTCAGAATCAACCAGCAGTTCTCATTGGACAATGGTTTTTTGTTTTGTTTCGTTTTAGTTGGAGTCTCACTGTCATTCAGGTTAGAGTGCAGTGGCATGATCAAGGCTCACCACAGTCTTGACCTTCTGAGCTCACGTGATCCATCTGCCTCAGCCTCCTGAATAGCTGGGACCACAGACATGTGCCACCATGCCCGGTTAATTTTTTACTTTTTATAGAGAAGAAGCCTTGCTAGGTTCATCTCTACAAAAAGCTAGTCTTGCCCAGGCTGGTCTTGAGCTCCTGGGCTCAAGGGATTCTCTCACCTGGGATTACAGACATGAGCCACCATGCCCAGCCCTCATTAGACACTACTGAAGTCCACGGAGGTCCTTCCAGAGACCCAGGGAAGCCCAGAAAAGTCACCCATCAAGACGCAGGCTCCTGTGTCCTGAAGGGAGGAGGGGGAGTGGCTCCCCAAGCCACCTGGTGCTGCAGAGTCTGGACAGGTAGCCAGGCGGACTTTGGAGCCGGCCACGTGAGAGTGCATCCCGTGGGCACGGCATGGGCCCACCTGCCAGGCAGCCCCGGCTCACAGAAGCTGCCCTTTGGACTCGAAGGGGAAACACCTCCCAGAGCAGAGGGGGTGGTTCTGATCGACACCCACAGCTCCCCTCTCCACGGGGCAGTCAACCCCCTGCGGGGACCTGGGCTGCGGGTGACTCAGCCAGCCCTGACCCTGGAGCCTGGAGCCTGTAGATGGTGCCCATGGCAACCGCAGCCGAGCAATAGGCCATGGAGGATGGAGACAAAGAGGGAGAGAAAGGCAGGAAGGACTCAAGGTGAACAGTACCTGGGATGCGTGTTCTCAGCGTCCGGAATCTGCCTTTGTGCACAGCAACCACTCTGCAAAAGTAAAGGTGGCTTAGCCGTCTGCATGGCAACCCCGGGGGTGCCGGGGGGCCTGAAAGCCTCACGGGGGGCCTGTGAACAGCCTCACTGAGTGGGAGTCCTGGGGAGGCCCAGGGCCTCCTGTCCTGCCTCAGCAGGCATGTAGGAAATGTGTGTGCCCCTACCTGTATATAATTGCATGTGATGGTGCGGGTGGTAGGGTTAGGGTGGGGGGAGAGATCTCGTTGCATATTTTAAAAAATTTTTTTCAAGGCTGGAACGCAATGGCATGATCATGGCTCACCGCAGCCTCAATCTCCTGGGCTGATGCTCTCGCCTCAGCCTCCCAAGGGGATGGGACTGCAGGTGTGCGCCACCATGCCCAGGTAATTTTGCTAATGCTTGCTAAGTTCCCGTGTGTGTATCCACCTGTGATGTCATCACCACGATCAAGATAATGGCCATACGCTTCTTCTGCGGAACCCTTTCATTTGGGGTTATTTCCATTTTAGAGACAGGGAAACTGAGGTGTCCGCTAAGGAACTTGCCCTAGGCCTTGCCTGGCTGGTAGGTGGAAGATCAGCTCAGCTCACCCCAATGCTGGAAGTCACAAGGCCATATGAGGCCACCCCTCTCGGGGCCAGGTGTGGTCTGGGTGGGCAAGGTGACAGTGGCCCAGGACTCAGCCTGCTCCGAGAGTCACCCTGCTTCTGTCCCTTCTCAAGGTACTCGGAGCCAAGACAGTGGGGGAGGGACAGCTCCACGGAGGCAGACCACCTCCGTGACCCCACCTCGTCTGTCTCCCATCAGAGCACACATCACATATTCTAGCTGTCCTCCCCTGGGGACAGGAACCCGTTCCCAGACAGACGTGGCAGGCATGCAGAACAATGCAGCTGGCTCTGCTCTCTCACTGCCAGATGGGAGGGCTGGGGTCCCCTCGAAACCAGGGAGCCCCTCAGACCCCACCAGGCTGCCCTGGGTGGGGCGGGCCCTGAACCCACAGCCTCTGGGCGGAGTGAAGGAACGCATGGCCCAGAGTGTACGTGTGTGGTGCATGTTGGGGCCCATGCATGCGTGGGTGGGCTCAGAGGTTGATGCAATCAGACACTGGCATTGCTCTGCCCCCCCCCCACAATGCACAGAGGCACCCTCATCCCTCAGCTCAGCGAGTCTCTGGGCTGCATCCTGAGGCAAAAACAAAATGGTTGATTTGAGGGAAGGAATGGCAGTGAGTATCTCCTAGAGGCAGAACACAGAGACTCAGTCCCCAGACCCGGGTTCTCTGGGTTTAAGCCTTCTAAGCATGGCTGCTCATTTGCAAAACCAGGGTAAGGACCGCCCTCTCCCCGTGGGGCGACAAAGGGATTCAGTGACTTGCTGGGGAAGGAGCCCAGAGCTGGTGCCAAATGTGTGCCCACTAAACTCAACACCACTCCAACAGCTGACCTCAGGCCAGCTCCTCATTCGCTAGGCCTCAGTTTCCCCATCTGTACAACCTCCTAAAAGCTTCTTTGGTTCTGACACCCACGATGTTGGGCTTCCTTCCCGACACATCCTGGCTGAACCTAGTCTCCCGCCCACCTCTACCCCCCATCCCAGGTAAGGTTTAAGGTGTTTCCAACTCTTGGGCAAGTGCACATGGTCTCCCCGCTCTCCGCGCCAGCCCAGACACCCTTCACCAGAAGACACCTGGGAGGAGGGCAGGAGGGCACCTCATATCAAGCTGTCTGACAGCCTGGCCTGCCTGGCAAGGCGGGGGCATTCTCCCTGGCCCCAAGCCAGAGCCGTCTGGCTGGCCTCCAGGAAATAGGTCAGGGCACTCCCTCAACACTAAAGAAAACTTGTGCCACTCTAAAATGTCAGATCTGGATGAGGGACAGGGGCAGACACGATGTTCAGGGTCATATGTGCATCACCTCACAGTGGAGACTATCACCACCACCCATGCACAGACCAGGAGGCTGAGGCTCAGAAAGGCCAGCTAGGCAGCTGGCCGAGGTCACAAGCTGGTGGCTTCAAACCTGGGCTGACCACAGGCCATTTGCTCTTGACTCCACCTGCCCTGCGTGCCCCGCCTCTAAGAGACCTCGCATCTTCTCCCTTTCTGCACCTTTCCGACAACAAATTCCCTGGCCAGGCTCGGTGGCTCACGCCTGTAATCCCAGCACTTTGGGAGGCCGAGGTGGGAGGATCACTTGAGCCCAGGCATTCAAGACCAGCCTGGGCAACACAGCGAGACCTCTACAAAAACTAAAAAGATTAGCCGGGCGTAGTGGCACACACACCTGTAGTCCCAGCACCTTGGGAGGCTGAGGCAGGTCAAGGCTGCACTGGGCCGTGATCGACAGAGTGAAACCCCGACTCAAAAAACAAAACAAAACAAAAAACAAAGTCCCTAACAAAGCCCGTCACCACCTTGTTTCTCTGGAAGCCCCTCCCTGACATTCAAACAACTGAGCTTGGGTGGGTTT